CACAGCTCAGGGGAGTCACCGGAGGACAAGGTGAATGGAAAAGACGTCCCTCAGGTAAATGAATTATTAAGAAGTGACGGTTGATGATGGGGTGTAATGGGGTTAGGAATCGGGGGGTGGGGGGTTTGTGTAAATTTAAAAACACGCAGTGGGAATTTACACTGTTTCTTTTCTGAAAATCTCTCGACAGCTCGACGATGTCTTTCTAGAGGAGCAGGAGGCCCTGGACAGCGTTGCATCAAGCAGCGAAGATGAACTGGGCCCACCTTGGTTCTGCTCAACGCCGATACAAATTGTTGAAGAGGACTCCGAGGATGGCGGCTATGAGGAGTTTAGGAGGAGGCTTGGCATGGAACTAACTGAGCCAGTGCCATGTCGTGAGCGTAAAAAAAGTCCTGCGGACTATTGTATGCATTACTGTTTATGCTGTCCTTAATCACTGCCTTAGGGAAAAGCTTTTTGAAGATTGTGAGGGCTGTGTCATAGATGCGCCAGCCCAACGGCACCATGACTGTGTGACTTGGACTTCAGTGGATATAAACTGCAAACTCCGGGGCCTGTGTGCTGAGCTGTGTTTGGAAATCCTATTCAACACTGTTATTGCCATAGGTTATGCTATGCAATGTCTGTGCCTAACCCAAGAACATTTAGCGCCGGGGGGACCTTGATAAAAAACAAGCCCCAAGACTTTGATATCTGCAAAGGGCCCCCACTTGGAATGGGTACTGTAAGAGGCCCTACAGAAAAATATATTTGAACTAAAAGAAAAAAAGAAAAGAAAAGAAAAGCAGCCCAGTTGTGCAGACAACTTATTCCCCCAGCCCAGACCACAAAAGGGAATGCTAGGGAGGGGTGAGCCAGTCAACCTGCTGACTATTTTGATACAAAGAGTTAGGATGGTATAAAAACCTCAGGGAGCTTGGAGCCTGTCTCTTTCAAGAGAAACGTTCTTGAATTGCTGCTGGACTGCAAGAGGAGGTATGCGCCCTGTTTTGAAATCTGAAATTAGATATTCTATAATGCCATTCTTTGGCCATGCCGTCTTAGTAAATAATGGTGCCTATCTTTATTGCAGTGTGATCTGTTTAGCATGGAACCAGGAACTTTAAGCTGCATTTCACCACCAGGCCAAGGTAAAAACCATTTTAACTATAGATGTGCTTAATACTGTTAAAATTAAAAAAAAAAAAAGCTTCAGGTATTACACAGGTTGTATAGGGATTTGGGGGTAATCCTAACTTAACATGTTTGCTTGTTCTTTAACCTGAACCAAACACACATGGCAGGGGTGGGGGCGGGGTGGTGGTGGACAGAACAACCATGTGCCTTTTAAATGCAGGTGGGTTTATTGAAAAGTATTTTCAATGGATTTTAAAAGCAGTTTGGTTTTTATTTTGCAAAATGAGATGTCTTTTTTAAAAATGTTTGTGGGTTTGTTTTTTAAAGCGGTAGAAATAAACTCAAAACCTGTGTTTGTTGTACAGCCTGAAATGGATTATTTTGTTTTAAAGCTGTGACTTTTCAAATAGAAAAACACCCTAACGAATATTTTATTTTTTTAAGTTTACAAGACAATTTCATGTGTTTTATAATGTTTGCTTCACAGTACGGTCAAAACATGAGAGGGTAAACAAGCTCAGAAGAAAAAGGAAAGAGACAGCTGAAAAGAAAATGTCACCAGTATCAGTGACTGATGGATGGATGGATGAAGCCCAGTAAATATATTGTGTTTATAC